CCCCACCCCACCCTCACATCAAGTTATATTTAGATAAATTTATAAAAATATTTTTATGCATTAACTATACATAACATAGAGTTTTATTAACAAACAATGGTTGGTTAATTTGTAAATGTTTTATTAATCACTATTAAAAGTTGTATGTTAAGTTAATGTAGCATATAATTTAAATTTAGAAGTATTATTTAATATAACTTATTATATGAGTTAAGTATAGTGGTAGATAAGCTAGTTATATTCTATACAGTAGTATATTAAATGTAAAACAGGATGATGGACACAAACCTGACACAACTTGATGTTAAGGCAGGCCCTGAGGAACTGGTGAGTGTCTGGGTTGAGAGGGGCGCCGCCCACCATCATAACCCTCAATTTGCCCCCTATTTGCGAGCGAATACTATTGCAGACCAACCTATCAATAATGGGCGTCCGATAGCCCTTCCGCTGCCAATCCATCTTATATTGGATGACATAATCGAAGAATCGCTTAAAGAATTGACCCTTTTTTGAGACATTCAGCTCAATATCCCGGCGAATGCGGTCCAGAATAAGGGGAACGCTAGCCATGAATGTAGGCCTCAACAGAGTAATGTCCCCTTTGGTGCCCGGTTTTAGGGCAGTGCCCGCGTTGGTCAGCGTGTATGGCGTGCCGTAACCTATCTTAACGCCGCACGAGAATAGGTATGTCTCGGCGCAGAACTCAAGGGTGTGTGAGAGGGGCAGGTATGCCAGGTAGGTGTGTGCGGCCGGGTTGGCGAACTCCCAGTGCACCAGAGTTCGTATGGAGCGGAATGTGGCCATTATTTGCTTGTGGGTCACCACTACACCTTTGGGCACACCTGTCGATCCTATGAGTGCGATATGTTTGTTGTGAAAATAAATGTAACCATTATAAGTTATGATTTATAACGTTACAAATGATACATTAATTAAAATGGTACTGGTACAAACCTGAAGTATACATAATGAGCGCCACATCATCCTCGGTGGGCTCAACCCCAACCAACTTCTTGGGGGCCATCGCACCGTCCATTTCCAACTGTTTGAATGTCACTAACTCGACACCCGATGGGAACTCCACTTTGGGATTGTGTTTGTAATCCAATGCAATATAGATGATTGTCTGGACACGTGGTGTGTGCTCATGGATTTTAGCTAACTTTGGCAACAGGTCTTCTGTGGTGATCATGTGAGTCACATCCACTTCGTTGATACCATGGATCAGACCATCGGTTCCCAGTGTTGCGTATATTGTTGTGATGGTGGCGCCGATCCGGGCTATAGCCTGTGCGCTCAGCAACCACTCTAACCATTGTACTCATCATTAGATCAAATAATTTATATTTAAAAATATATTTTATAAGTTATATTTTTATTTTACAATTTGTAATTATGTTTTAAATAATTGTAATCTTAACACAAAATTATTATTCAGTTTTATAAACAGAGCATGATCAAAACTTATGCACTGTAGTGTACGCTAATAGCATGATAGCAATCATTAAAATCTTATTAGATTTTTTACATTTACGATAATTATAACATAATAATCTGTTTAATTAAATTGCCGTGATACTTAACTAGGTAGAACTTTTTATTTTTAAAATTTGAAAACTCTCTCATAATTAATTATAAAATATTTGTATTAATATATGGGAAAGGCATACAAACCGAGTCTGGTCTCCGAAAATATCAAAACGGTATCCTTGGGTTTCACGCCATTCATGAGCAGACCTCTGGCTATGTCACTGATACGTGTGTCCGCCTCCCCGGCCGTCAGCCACTGGTAGTCACTTAACTCCCACTTCTTAATCACTTTGCCGTCGGGTTGTCTGTCATCCTCTTCCCCTGATATACGCCTATAGCCCAAACACGGACTCTCCGGTCCATTCTCTTTGAGGGACCGGCGCTGAGCCTCCGGCAGTGTCCGACACTCGTCGAGGTAGTGGTCGGGCAGTTGGCCCACCCGTGCCCACGATGAGTACGGGTCTTGCGGGTCCTCCTGTAGGGCTCGTATACGGCGAGCGCCGGCCACCACTCGCCACGGCTTTTGTATAGCGTAATACACGGGGAGTGTTAGGTATGTGTAGAGCAGTACGAAGAACCTGATGATCAGCACCGGTATGGATAAGTGCACCGTTGCTTTGGCTGAGGTATCCATGAGTTTGAATTGTAGGTGAATTTTATATATTCAGTTAATTATGAATTATATTTTAGTATAAGTTTTTTTGTATAAATTTTTTTATGACACAAATATTGAGAAATGTTTTCATACTAACACTCAGACAATACATAACATTGAAAAAAGTGAATTTCAAACAACTTTTTCATTTAATCTTTTGATTATTAAACTATAAGTTCATTGTCTGAAAAAATATACTGTATTTTAGAGCAACTTTTTTATCGGCTTTCACACAAATACGAGTCGATTAGATATGAATTTATTTATAAATGCCTTCAATTCATTCACATTTCATAGAAATTTGTTGTAAACATTAGTGGAGAAAAGTTTGTCAAAAATATTTATTATATAAAACTTATATTTGACAGCAAAACAATAAATTCTATGACTAATTGTATAGAAAATACTTGTTATAAGTATAAACCATGTGAAAAATAAATGGTCTGTTTTTGCGGGGGTGTTATCTATGGGTCCCATAAATATGTGTCAAAAATGATTAGCTCATACTCTGTGGTCAATACTATGGGTTGTTTTAACACACATTTGGTTCGTGTGTTTTGTAGTGTTTATAAATTTACTTAGGGACCATGGACAAAAATGAATTGATTGTGTTGTTTATCAAGCTATGAGTCCTTCATTGGCTAGACTTTGCACTATTTATTTGATCGCATCTCTCTCTCTCTCTCTCTCTCTCTCTCTCTCTCTCTTTCTCTATCGTATGAATACATATCCAGTTATGTTTCACAGAAAGATATGATTTATGAAGTGATAGATAAATCAAGCCCGACATTATATTTATAAATGCTATACAAATATATTTCACGTGTTATGACATAAATATAAATGAGTTTTGAATCTTATTTTGCTCTCAAAACTAACTGTGAAACTCAAAAACTTTTGCTACGTTTGTTGATTATAACAGTGTTTTTCAGAGTTAGCTAATAGTAAAATAATTTTGATTTTGTCATCAAAATTAATTTATTTTATAAATATAGTTATCAGTAAAGCTATAATCTATTTATAAATATGCATATTCAGCAAAAAAGTAATCAACTAGGTGAGTTTAGTAGCAAAAAACAAAAAGCCAACAGTGAGGATCGAACTCACGACCCCTGGTTTACAAGACCAGTGCTCTAACCACTGAGCTATGCTGGCGTATGTAAGTGCTTATGGCCCTAATAAGCAACGTTACAACAATTGTATGGTTATAATAATGCATTGTACGGTATATTTTGTATTTTGTATGTACAACAATTAATTTGATTGTTATCATAGTTTTTTTTATTAACACAATAGTGAATACTAAGTTATACGCATTCATATCAATACATAATACATTTATTACTCGTTATAAAGCACTGTATTTTTTATTATGTTTGCTATGTTATTATGATAATGCATATTTTCATGTTTTCTGACTTTTATTAATGAAAATTTTTGCTATTCTTGTATTATTATACAATAAACAAGAATGTATCAATGAATGTTTCATTATCAGATTTATCAACCACCAATTTAGTAAAGTAATTATTTTGCTAAATATTTTACTTAATTTTATAAATGATAGCATTATAAACTATTTTTCAGAAAAGTTTTATAAATTATAGTAAAATTATAAATAATTTTATGATTTAAATTGTAATAAAAATATTAATTTAAAAATATTATAGAAATTAAAATTTCAATTATTTGCAAATAAGATTGATAATCAATATTATGTGCAATGCTATTAAATTAGATTTATGTTAAAGGTTATTTATAAAAATCTCTCGGTATTGCAAAACAATAAAATAAACTATTTGTGTTAAACATAACAAAAAGGATGATTTTAATTTTATTGTGTTTAATGTTTGACAATAATAATCAATCACAAATAAGAAATAAAATACAAATTATAATTCATATTCAGTATTCATGTGACTTCTATACTATTGTGTTCAGATTTATTGTATTTTTCGTGTATTATTCTCGCAAACAATCAATAAGTTTTTAGCCAAATTAACATTATATTAAACCCATTAATGATATTAAAATATTAAACATGTTATATATTTCGTAGCCGTTAACAAGTATTTATTTAATTTATTCATACTTTTGCAAATCTGAATAACTTGGCAATTAATAGAAATAATATTTTGTAGGTACTTTAATAACTATTTTTAGTTTATATAATAGTTATCGTATACTCATTTACAGTATGTCGACAATTAGTACATTAAATCTATTTGATTTTGAAATTAATATTCTGTTAATAAAATAATCATTAAATGCTAATTACTGTATTGTTAACGAAAGCAATATAATATCATAAAACGATAAATTTACATAATTTATATCACAATAGTCTGAGCAAGTCATAACTTGTAACCAGCTTGTATCAGTAATTCACAACTTTTATATTTAACTTTTAAATGCATTAAGAATAATAATTTAATAATTCGTTCAAATATACTGTACCGAGACAAGAAATAATGTCTAGCAAATATCTTAATAAGTATGCAATTGCATTTATAACTAAATTGCGACCATTTTTCAACCTAAAAGATGTTTATTCAAAATGCGCAAAACATATAACATTTGTCGACCATATCTATGTATTTTATTATGGTGCCATCAGAAATGTTAGATCAAATGTATGTTCATTTATTAATGTATTTTATATCAACATTTTATTCACAAATAATTATCTCACAGATTCTGCACGGGTATGCACTGGATTTCATTGAATATATGATATGTCAACTCCATATCAACGTAACCTTTACCACACGTATAATGTATAGACCGGGTTATAACGAAAGCAAGATTGTGCAGGTTAGTTCACGATTGAAAATCAATAATTTCCATAATAATTTAATTACAGTATATTAATTACATTTATAATATATATATATTTATTCTTTGTCTATATTTTGTCCTTTATGTATGTTTTTTGTATATATCTAAATGACAGAATCTACATTAAAACACACTTTAAAATCTTATTAAACATAATAACTTCACAAAATAACATTACATGTTTTACTACTAATAGACAAGCGATATGATCTTGATACCACGTTGTAAAATCACCAAGTTGATCATTGAAAATGGCAATATTGTAGTGCGAAATCAATACTTTTTGCTTCAAATACTGACAGTCAGTGCCCAACGGGAAGACACCACTTATTTTAACTTTATTTTCTTATTTGATTTGCCGGTACTTTGTATTCATTCATAATTACAATCTTATAAAGTTTATTTTTACTAATTCATTGTTTTTATGATAGACATGGATACTGTTGGGGTTGAGTCTCATAACAGTATGCATAGTATGGCTACTATTAAGTCCTGTTCCCTTGGCTAAAGTGACGGCACTGACAGATATGTTGAGTACAGTCCTCAGCCAAGGGTCTAAACGGATGACCCAATTATCTCGACTCGGATTAGAGAAACTCCGCAATCATAAGGAAATCCTCTTATTTTCATTACTAGTCGTATGGCTTTTCTCTAGTCTAGTGATCAACAAATGCTTTTCGGAGTTCCTGTTAAACACATACATTCAGCCAAAACCCGAGCTCCAGGTGCCCACTTTCGAAGCACTTAGCAAGCAGAAATATGTTAAAATATTAAACCAATTGGACGATCGAGACTTAGATCTCATGGATAAACAGGAACTGTGGCTAAACATCAAGGAAAGGGCTGATCGGGACAGACATCTTAATAACCGGACTAGATTTAATAGTTACATATGTGGTGATAGATACATCGCTAGTATGATCCGCAGTCGTAGGGCTGTCTACGTGGGCAACAGCGGCCGGTGCGATGAGATCAGGGCGTTAGCACCGGGGAGTCGGGTGACAGTGGCTCCTGAAAAGTATGGCTACAATTTCAATGTGTATTATATCCGCAAAACACATAAATTGAGTGATTTTTTGCAATTAAAATTCATGATTACCGTTGAAATGGGTTTGGATATTAGGGAACAGAATATTCTGTGGATAATTTCTGAGTACCTTGGTAAACAGCAAGCATCCGACCCGAATCTAAATTGCTCTCATATAACTGAATGTAATAATATAATAAAAACTGTTAATGATAATGATGATGATGATCAGGATCATAAGACTATGAAAGTTGGCGAGACGTTTAGGGGTGTGTTTCCCATACTATTTATCGGTATATTCGTGTCGATAGTTGTGTTTGTTTTTGAGTATAAAAACATTTCTAATAAAAAGATATCTAAAATAAAACAAGAATTTATTGAATTGAAATTAACCCAAAAACCTGTAATTATTTATGGTCAGTATAATACTTATTTTAATAATAATAAAACTTCAAAATTTTAGTGTTAGATAAAAGTTACAATGAATTTTATGTATTTGTTCATTAACTTATGTAAATATAAACTCAATTATAAATTATATGTAACTTAAATTATAACTTTTACAGATTTTAAATTTATTTATTAACAATAAATATTTTGTGTTATTAAGCAAATAAAAGTCTTTAATTAAAATATGCTAAATTATTGTAGAGACCTAAATTATAAAGTCTACACAGTGCCTACACTATCATTAGTATTAGACCTTCAAGAAAAAATAATTAGTTAACAATTATTTCTTAGTTATTTTGTACTTAAAATTATAATAATATATTTTGATGACACAAACAAAATTGACAAATATGTTTCATTATAATAATTAAGTTTTAATTATGTTTTTTTTGAAAACTCGTGTTTTAAATATAGAAACTATAAAACAAATGAGAATATTTATACTAATTCTAAGAATTATTATTATTATTCTATAATAAATGTCTAATATTCTTACCTAAAATACATAAATAAATATAAATTTAAGTTTTATTATCAATTCAATTGTGTATGGAGAAATAAATATTACTATTTTTGAAATATTATTTTTAAAATTAATGCAAATATACATAGGTAATTAATAATGAATAGATTTTATAAGAGTTCGATAATTGAATTTATAGCTCAATTTGGACCATTTGTACATCTAAATCACATTTATATGAAATGCGCTAAAAATCTAACATTTATTGATCACATTTATATATTTTATCATGATACTATCT